TATTGTGGATATTTAAAATGTTTTCCATTTTCAGTGTTAAATAGTCTAAAAATAAACGTTTTTGAATTTTGAAAGGCGTATGTGCATTATTATGCCATTATCATTATTCTAGATGAAAATGGTCTCAGATCGACAATATTATCGTTTATCGCGATAATTTCTTGGACAATTTATCGTCCAGCAAAATTTGCTATCGTGACAGGCGTAATACTTTATTAGTCCAGGTGGAGAAACTCTTTTCACCCACCCATCTACCTGTCTTGCTCTCCATAAGACACGCAGACGCATATGCAGGCGAGAACAAGCTTGGGGTCACAGCACAAGGTCAGACAGCTCCCCTGGATCTAGGGATTAAGGACCTTGCTGAGGGCCCCACGGACATGTAACTATTCCGCAAAGGCTGGGCCTCGAACCGGCGACCTTCTGATCACAGGCACAGAGGCTCAGCCTGCTGAGCCACACACTGCTACCAGAACACCTTGTGGACCACTACAGGATCCTATAAAACTGAGCTACAGGAGCACTGCCTATGTCATAAATATCTACTATTCCTACTCTGACTATTGAATACCTGGCCTAACGAAGTCCATCTCATTCTAAAAGGGAGTTTGAAAATGTGTTTCCACGACATCATGCATTTGCAAGTTCTGTGCAACACTGTCAAACTTACTCTTAATATCTGGCCCAACAGAAATATTGAACAACGGAAGGTCCATCTTCACTTGGCTTGGAACCTCCACAGTAACCATGCCTTTGGACAGGACCAGGATGCCTGACACAGGGCCATTTGGGCAGAAGGTCCCCACCGCAGTGTCCCTTGTGGCCTGACGAGCAGTGATGGTGTACACGTTCTGCTCCGGGCAACCTATAGAGGGCAGAACCTGCCTGAGGCCAGCCAAGGGAAAGCCCAGGCGAACTGCCCGACCTGGGAGGGCTGTCACTTCCCAGGTGAAGGTTCTGTTAAATTTTAGGAATGGCAAGGAATCCATCTTGCCAACGTCCATTCTGTACGTCTCAGCTGTGCAATCTGTGCAAAATGAAAGAAAAAGCTCTATATCAGAGAAAATACAGTCCATACTGTCTCATGTATGTTACAGTGAAAGACTCCAAATGTAACAAGATATGCATGTAAGAAGACCATTAGACACCCTCCCAGACTTATAGTAAGTTGTGAAGAATCGTTAATTCAGCATTCAAAAATTGAGCCATATTCAGAACATTTTATAAGTCTAGTAGATAAAATAATCTTTATTATATCAATTATGAAAGCAGAGTTAAACATTCTTCAATGCTAAAAACAGCTGGCAGTTCATTTTAATTTACTACAGTGCACAATTACTAGTAGATTGTTAGTGACAAGGAAACAACTCGACTCCCAATCCCACTGCCAGAAGGAGTCAGAACATCACAAGACGGAACAGTGTCTATTCTGCGTCTGAGGAGGAAGCACCCTTACCAATCACTGTCGTGGTTTTCACGACGAAGACGTCCTGTGGGTTTGGGCAGGTGAAATTCAAGTTTTCGCTGGTGATGTTATTCAGGGACTCGACAGACTTGGCGCTGTTGGGCAGATACACAGAGCAGGCCGGACCCTTGGCATTCTTGACAATGCTGATGACCTCGCCCTGGTTGGTGACTCTCTGACCCACTGAAGAGAAAGCAGAAGTCACAGAAATTTTTCTATGTTACCACAACTGGGACTTTCAGTAGACGGATGCAGTGGTCTGGCAGTACAGTTTCAAACAATTAGTGCTAACTACATATCAAAGCGATGGTTTATACAGCCAAGAAGATCAGTCACTTAAAACACTACTGAAACAAACCAGTTCTCCCGCTCAGATGACTCAAATCTATGTCAGCTTTGACCTGAAGTTCTCCTGCCCTAGTTGGCCGTCGATAATAAGGCGAACAGCAGTGCAATACAATGTGCAATTTAAGAAAAGCAGACATGATAATGAATAAGAAATGTGATACAAGGATGTGTTAGCTATGAGAGATGTGCAAAACGGCTGTCATACAATAGTGCTGGGAAAGTCCAGGTAGCACATTAACAATACAGCACTGTATAACACAAAGGTTATGGGACGGACAGGTACCAACTGTTTGGGAACCTGAGGGCTTGAGAAACGGTCTCTGAACCGGGTGGTGCGGTTTGGACGCAATGGAAGCACTTCCCAGAGGGCAGCGGGGTGAAGAGGGAGTGAGATGAGTGCCAGGGATCTACGATGATGGAGCGGCAGATTGCGTGGTGCTGTGAAAGATCTGTCCCCATCATTGAAACTGTGCAGCCTTGCGGAGAATGCGAGAAAGATCGCGAGAGGCAGTGGCTTTGCTGGACAACATGATCAACGCCAACGATCTACTATTGTTACTTCTCTCTGTCTGAGCTTGTGTGTTGGGAAGTGGATCACCCGGTCAGCTCAGATCAAGGTCTCTTAACTCTCAACACCAGGTTGCATTATTGATGGTGTTAAAAGCCAAGCTGTAGTCGATGAAAAGCATCCTGATTTAAGTGTTCTTATTTTTTTGAAAATGTCCCACAGTAGCATGTAGGACAATGGAACATGGCATCATCCACTGATCTGTTTTTCTGGATTGCAAACTGCAGTGGGTCCTGGGAAGGGTTGCAGGGAGGTTGGGGTTGATGTTCGCGACCGGTTGTTCTAGGCATGCAGTGGGGGCAGTAATGGCTTGAGCAGGAAGCGGCAGCTTTCATCTGCACAGGCATGACCACGGTCTCCTTAAAGCACAGCAGCACAGTGACAGATGGACGATGAGGCTGTACTTAACACAGCAGCGCGGCGAATGCCTTCGGGATGCCGGACAGGATTCCGTCAAATCAGGTGTCTTTGGCTTTACTTGCACCAACCTCCCGCCCCTGTAGAGCGACTCTTTGGGCTGGAGACGCAGCCACACTGCGACCCTCAAACCGGCCATTGAAGCTGCTCCCTCGTCTGGGAGGGAGGGGGGGACTGTAAGCGCAGCTGGTGAGTTTCTGTAACCCATTTCCACATGCAGTCCTTTCCACAATCAGCGCGAATAACAGCAGCTTAACGTGTCCATATTGCTTCTTAGCTGCTTTAATAGTCCTCTGTAGCTCATTTCTGGCATTTTTGTACTGGTCCTTGTTTTCGGAAATAAACACTGCAGTGTGCTTACTCAGCTTCAGAGAAACAGTGGCGTTAATCCAAGGCTTCTGGTTGGGGCAGGAGCAGATAGTCTGGGATGGCGCACACACCGGTCAGTGCAGAACCTGACAGTCAGTCACCGAGATTTTACTCACCCAGGTTCCCGGTGGAGTCCTTGAAGATGAACCAGTCAGTCAAATCCGGAAGTCTGACCTCAAAACTTGGAGGTCCGTCACTGTACTTCCCTAACAGGTAGCATGATGAGCTTCAATTTCACGCTCCCAGGCTCAGAGCAGAAGCACTGATGAGTGGTCCAACAGTGTGGACGTGCAAAGGACTTGTAGGTGCCTCCCACTGTAGTGCAGCACAGGCCGAGCGTCTGGAGATGACATGCTGGTGGTATTTGGGGAGAACTTTCTTCAGGTTGCAGAGGTCGAAATCCCTGGCTACGATAGAGATAGAGGCTTCTGGATGCTTGCTCATGCTTGCAAATGACAGCGTACAGGTCGACTAGTACATCTGCAACCAGAACGTCTAGTGGAATGTAAATGACACGGAGAAGCACTCCGGAAAATTGTCTCAGCGGTTAGAACAGCCAGCATTTGACAGTCAGATACTGCTGCACTGGCAAACCTGGTAGCAGAACTATTTATTTTCACACCACCATGGGAGAAAGTAAATCAGCAAGGATATCTCAGCTGCATTCTGTGTAGTTCCTTGTTGTCAGTTATGCCATTTATGCAATTAGTGTTGAACTTTCCTGGCAGGAAAAAGCTGACAAGGAAGCTGAATTTGAGAAGTCTATACCAGGTATGCGAAGCAGATTTATTGTAGTCTGACCCAAAATAAAGTATAACGAAAATAAAGAAAATGTCATACAGATATTGATACTGGGCATACAGGCAGGATTGACATCTTCCTGCTGCAAGCATCAGTGGTGATTGTGGTAACTGTGGTAAAGGTGAGGGCACCTAGAGGAGGTTCTCAGTCCAATAACCACTGCAGTAGAGCAGCAGTTAGGGATTCCACTATAATGCTAACTGAAAATTTCAGTTACAGATCATGTAAAATCTTATCACTGATAAAACATACTGGATACTTCACAAAGTCAGCCTGTATTATGCTGGAACCAGAAAGCTGCAACTGAAAACAAGATCAGATGCAAAAACCTTCTGTCAGGGCTTAAAACTGTGACCATTAATTGGGAGTGTGCGGGTTAAAATTTCACATGGTCCCATCTGTGGGAATGTATGGTAATCAATGCTCAGGCACGGATACTGCGTTAATGAATTGTGATTAAAGGATTTTCTTCTTTCCTTGGCTCAGTGTGTCTTTTCTGCTCATTTGGGAGCACATACGTATGTATAGGCGCACTTATGATAAAACACGCAAAACAATCCATTTAGCTGTGGTGTAGACATGCTCCAAAAATGAAGCAGTCTATAGCTGATTATAATAAAAAAACAAAATGTCTTGAGTCTGTCAATCTTTCATCAATACACAAACTAGGGTATGCAAATTAGGACAACAATTCAGCAACATGCAAGGTCATTGGTTAATACCATGCTGCACAAAAAAAAAAGGCTGCGACCAATAGAAAAAGTTGGTAGCACCAGTGCTACCACTGGTAAAGTTAGACTGGAGCTCTGTCTTGGTTTTGATACGATATGCATGGAGAGAAACCAATCTGCAACTCAAAAGACCTCAAAATCATTTACGACTGTTAGGAGATGCATCATTTTCAATTGTTTAGTGATGCCACCATTAGGCTACAGCAGTAAGTCAGGTTACAGTGATGTTTTAGCGTATATTAAGGAATACGTGCCTTGCTCCCACACCACAGCCACACTCCCTGAAATAGACGACTACATACGCATGCTACACAACTCATGTCATGTAATGTAATACATTCCTATAATGCACTGAGATATGCACACAGATAATTAAAGCAAATGGAGCAGTAAAGAGGAGCAGAGCTGATCCCTGAGCAACACCCCCCAAGGACCCAGAAGCCGCCGCTCAAACAGAGATGCACACAGCTGGCCGGCACTAAGCAGGAGATGAAAATGGGGGACAGACGACACGTTTTAGCTTCCAGAGAAACTGGAGAGAGGGGAAAATGCAATTTATGAAAAAAGGCAAAATAACTCAGACTTAAAAAGGCTGACCTTCAGCTATTTACAGACTTATTTATCGAATCTGGACAAAAAAGGGTTTTGCTGCACACTGTAGATCACTAGGGGTGTAACGGTACAAAAAAAATAACGGTTTGGGACGTACCTCGGTTGTGAAGTCATAGAGAAATGTATGTATGTATATGACCCAAACCAAGATAAGCAGTTAGAAGATAGATGGATGGATGGATGGATGGATAGGTAGTTTAATTCCAAACGTACACTAGAACACACACACAGCTTTAACTCAACACAGGGAAGGACAGTTGGGGGGGAATGATTTCCAGAATGTGAATAACTGTCAGTCCGTCAGGTTGACACTAAGCATACAGGGTTAGGCTCAGGTCCCTGGGCTAGTGACCGGAAGGTCGCCGATTCACACCCCACGTTCGGCAGAGTTGTTTCACCGCTGGGCCATTGAGCGAGACCCTAACCCCACAATCGCTGTACGGAGTGGCTGACCCTGCTGTCCCGTTTGTATGTCACTTTCTAAAAAAAAAGAATCTACTAAATAAAAATGTACGGATGGATGACATAATGCCACTAATAACCGGAGATAACCGGTTAAAACAGCCACATACTGCTCAACAGATGGAATCACCGGTTGTTCTAAACTCCGTTGATGCTGGCGGGTAAAATACCAGCCCAGTAAGCAGCTACAGCAGGTCAAGCCTCCCAAGTATAACTATGCCGGTTGACTTATGCATGTCTGTACGTGTCCTAACATGCTGCGCGTACACACTGTCCCGACAGAGGACGCTCACCCCTGCTTCCCGTCTATCACAGAGAAAGAAAAACAGAGTCAATGAAATGAGTAATGCAGAAGTCAGGGTATTACGGCCAAGCTGATGATGTTTCAGACAGCACAACACCACAGCCTCTCAGCCACAGAGATGGGGGTTCGGATCCCACAGAGATGGGGGTTCGGATCCCACAGAGATGGGGGTTCGGATCCCACAGAGATGGGGGTTCGGATCCCACAGAGACTGTGTGGCGCGTATACTGGCATCCAAACTGGCATCCCATCTGGGGTGCCCCCTTACCCTCTGCTGCCTGGGCTCACCGTGAATCTCCACACAATACCATCTTTTCAGGTCCAATCCCAATATTAAAATTTTAGGTATCTGCAGATACCGTTCCGATATTTTTTCCCCTTTTATCAACTATTTATCATTAAATGAGATATTTGTCAACACATTTCAATTAAGACAGCAAACGACCTGCATTTAGTGTTGTAGTGGCATTGATTATTGGAAAATACACTGCTTGCCTTGCTATACCCAGTGCGCTACAGGAAGAAATCCACAGCCAACAGGATTCACACGTCTGCCTCTTTGTTTTATTCAGTAACAACTTTTACGAAAATGAACAGAATTATTTCTTAAAGTACAAATTGCGCAAACCATTGCCAAATATAATAAAGAAATCACTTATGAAAAAATCATGGTATACCCCAACTATCCATTTCAAGTCAAAGAGTACACGAGTTTCCAGTATAAAATATACAATGGAGCCAGATAAAACTTAAGTAGTTAACCAAACCTTACAAAGCATAAAACCCTGATATCTAGTTATCTACTGCATTCAGACTTGAGAAAAATCCACACTGGCCTTACATACAATGCACTCTGTGGTTTTCGCTTTTTTCCTCCTTCAGCGTAAAATACAGTATCCTCATTTCCACACAGGCAACATGACGGCTTCGACACGCGTGTTGCTGAACAGCGAGCCCTCATGACGCCTTCACCTCTGTTTACGGTATGTCCCATTAAGGCTACGGGCATTTTCTTGATTTTTCGGGCTAGACTGGTCTCTGATGGAAAGTCGCATCGGCCTCTTACTCCCCTGCCCCCCCAATATCTGATCCATCATTTGTTGCTGGTACCAGTCTAATACTTATAGAGGGCATCAGATCAGCGCCATCTTCATTACCACTGTCTTTATTCTCCCATTTTGAGGCCAGGGCGCTACTATCTGACAAGGTTCTTTTCTGTTCTGAAAATGGTTACATTTAACTGCTGGTCCACCACCCAGACCCTTACCATTCCCAGGGCTCAACCGAAACTCTGTCTCCAATCCCACACCACGTGCCCCGTCTTGGCTCTGCGGAAATCAGAGGCGTGGCTCTTCAGTAAGACATGGAGAAGTCTCCAGAACATCAGTTCGGGATCAGCTGTGCAAAGACGAACACAGTAAAGCCTGTTTGCACTTAGGCTGGTACCTTTATGAAAACATTCATAAATATTTAAATTCTGACAGTATTGTTACATCTTCCAATGTTTTTTTTTTTCTATGAAAAGTCCTGTAATGGAGATCTGTATACTTTAAGTACCACAGAAAGATGGGAAAATCCATTCAACATTTTCATGTTTGGTCTCTGAAGTCACATGGATATTTCTTCGCTGGCAGTAAATGATAAATGTCGACGCCAAGCCCCTGACCCTGTGGATGTGCCCAGACCATTGTCCCACCTGGCTACCCAAGTCTACTGAGGCCATACGCTTCACACTCAAACTCAGGGGACCTGGGAGATACTAGTGCCAGACTTTAGGAGGATCAGAGGTGCAGCAACAGGACAGGCAAGGCAAGCGATGGCCTGGGGCCCGAGCTGGGAGGGCCCCTCCCCGGGCGGCCAATTACACAGTATAGTGCAACAACTGATCTGCTTAATTCGTGTATTGTGTTTTTCACAAAACTTAAAATAAAGGACTTGCATTTACTCAATTCTCTTTATTGATATTATTAATGTAGGCTTTATGCTACAATAATGGTAATACTGTACATTTTACCGCGTCGGGGGAGGGTGAGCTGAAGGGCCCCTTGGAGTTTGTTTCTGCCTTGAGCCCCCGAGTCCCGAGAATCGCCGTCACGTCTGCAGGATGCAGCGCCGACCAAGTTTCCCCACCTGCCCCGCTTTCAGATTTCAGCCTTACTGCGTATTTTCATGCATGCAGCTGCAATATTTCCTCACTCGTTTACGAAAACAAAACAAAAAAAAAAGAAGCAGAATCAGTCCAGGCAACATAAGGGCAAGAAAAGGCAACAGCTACCTTTGGGGAAAAATAAAAAAAGCCTGAAAGACCTACACTGACAGCGAGAGCGTGCCGAGGGCGGCCAGGCAAGGAGCTCCAGGCAGCTGTGTGTTGAGACACGAACGCAGTGCTAAATGCCGCATGTTACGGGAACCCATAAGCTTCCGGTAATGGAGAGCTGCGTCACACCCACCAGTCAGGGAGTCTCCATAACCGAAAGCACAGGACACCCGACTGAGGCATACAGACCTCAACCCCCCCCCCTCCCTCTCAGGCTTCACAGCTATTTCATCTCTCATCCTCTTTTTTGACCTTTGTCCATCCTCTCCATTTATAGCGTCGTTTCATGACTTATTGCTCATAGGGAAAGAGGAAATATCTGACTTCAGTTTGCATACATCCAATCACAGTGCTATATCGGGACAAATTTTACATAGCAAAACCCCTTATAAGCATTTTTTTAGCATTTGATTAAACACATGCTTTACTTTGTTTCCAGTACAGGCACATCCGTGAATAAGGTTTTCTAATCAATCCAACACCTTAGCCACAATGCCTTAATTAAACAAATTCTGTTTATTAAAATGCTTTAAAGACATGTTTAGTCTACACCAGTAGATGTATTTACTTTCCTGTCGGAACGGATTTTCCACATATCACAGATATCAGGATTACAACACCCAGAGGCGCACGTGGCCTTTTAAGGCCCGTATTATTATCATTATCATAACGAGACTACGCACAAATTAAAACACTATGCAGCTGTAGACTCTTTTAAAAGTAAGAAGTCGGCGCACCTGCAGCAACATAGATTTCATGGCGCTATCCGTTTTCTTTGCAATGAATCACTGAAAATGCATTAAGGCAGGGGTAGGAAACCCTGATCCTGGAGTGCCGTATCCGGCAGCTTTTCTAACCTCCTGGTCTCTGATGAACCACATCTGATCTCAGGCAGACAGAAACTCATCAGGTAGGACAGAAAACCTGCTGCACTCCGGGGTCAGGGTTGCTTAGCCCTGCAATAGACCATGGAAGTGATAATATCCGAAGAGATAAAAAGTGTTTATATACACAAAAATGAACATACTCCCGTGGAGGAAACGTGAGAGCGTAACCCATATACTGATCCCGGACGGAAGATTTTATTGGCAACTGAAATTACGACCAAATTACAGTCTCTCTTAACTATAGTTAATTAATGGAATATTATCTCCAACCATGAACTAGCACATATATAAAATACCATGCAGTCACCTAAAGGATAATTTATATAATGCATTTATTGATTATCTCAATAATCAGTAACACTAACTGACTAAGCGATCTGTGTTCGATGTGTGTAGCGGAATAAGAAATCAATTAGTGCCTAATCAAATAATTAAACCTATCCATAAACAGGTATACACTTGGTAATAGTTTAATACTCTAAAGAGAGCAAGACAGCACATTAAAGTTCAGAGTAACGCATTAACATGCAAAACAGGTAGATAAAGATAAAACTAGCGAGTTAGCATGTAGGGCATGTGAACTGCAGTCATCTCTTACCGGTGATAAAGGGGCCGATTGTCAAAAGGACCTGGAGCAGGTGAAGAGTACAGCCTGACGTTGGGAAACGCATTTCTCCCGATTAATTGTACCCTCCAGCAGAGTACTCGGGACCCCCTGGATCCGACTCACTACCGCGCCATGAAGCTGCGATCTACGCCGCCAGTCTGCGCGCCTGCGTACCTGCACATTTCCGCGTTCGCGCCGCCTCGCTCAGGTGAGCCGGAAGCCAAGGGCGTGTCGCTGCAGGTTCGTTACTGCATTCTGCTTTGCTGGATTCCGATTTACAGCAACATCGATTCCATTATCCGAGTGAACAACACCACCGCAAGTTTTAGCACACACGCAGTAGGCTGTGAATTGCTTATACAGAAGTAGGCTTGATTAGATGCTATACACATCCTAAATGTATCCGCAGCAAAAGTAAGCAGCATCATTTGATAGGACAAAGATCAATTAGGATTCAGCCATCACCTGCCCCATCGACGTCAGCATTCCAGTGTTAGTTTCCAGTCTGCTGCATGCCTGTTCAGACACATTTATCGTTTACTTGGTGGTAACTTCATGGTTATGTTGAAAATCTCTGAATCACATGTATTGCTGAGGCAGGAAAAACAGTTTAGTTTTTGGGATAACCTTTAGGTTAGAGTTACTTACATGGGGAGAACTTCCACACTCAGCATGCATACAGAAGAGGTGGGCCTCGAACCCCTAACCCTGGAAGTAGCACCAACTGGGGTCTCACAATTAGGAAGCCAATTAATAATAATTAATACTTATGTATCAGCCAAGTTCATTTTTAAAAAAGAAAATTAAAAAATAACTACTTATAACTACTCTCAAATTAGATCATAAGGTAACAGCATTAATAAACAATATTTCTTCTGTATTTTTATTCAAGTATAATGTAGTTTAATTTAGCCTGTGTGACACTGAGTTTGCATCACTGATGCAGTGAAGCTATACGATTAATTTAAGGGACCAAATTTACAGAGCAACCTGAGGAAATAATCATGTCAAACTTATTTTTAAAACTAACCCATTAATTTAGATTACTGAAATTGATATTGACCTGACAAAATCTCGGTAACACTTTACTTGAAGCAGTCTACAAAAGGGTGACATGTAACCGTCATAAGAATGACATGACACATGTCATGCACATTAATGACACATCATTGACAGTTCCAAAAACCGAATGACACATTATGACAACAGTCATAAACATCAATAATGTGTCATTAATGTGCATGACATGTGTCATGTCATTCTTATGACGGTTACATGTCACCCTTTTGTAGACTGCTTCAAGTAAAGTGTTGCCAGAACCTCTCATCTAAATTGTTTGAGATAATGAATTAAGAACATTATTTTGCTGGTGAGTGAGGGGTGGGACTCAAACCCAAAACCTCCTGGTTTGGGGGCTTGGGTCCCACCTCTGGTGCTGTATGTATTCCCTGTTTTTACACGAGTTTCTTTAAAGTATTGCAGTTTCCTCTCGCCCTCCAAATGCAGGTAGGGGAACTGCTCTGATGAGCTGCTTTCCCATCCAGGGAGTCTCTTGCCCTGTGCTTCCTGGAATAAACGCCAAGCTCATAGCAGCCCTGCCATGGATAAAATGGATGGATGGATTTTGTTGGTGTGCATGCAGATTAAGCCTGCTGCATTTTGATGTATTGTAATAATTCTACTTCTTCAGGTGAGTGCGATTATGCCTGTGATTGAATTCATTGTTACAATAATGCTTCTTGTTAATCCCCACAGAAGTTTCTCTTAAAGTCCACTTCTGTAAGAACATTACTATCTGTATTACTCACAAGAGACATATTCAAACAAATGTTATAAACTGAAGTACAGACAAACTTTGTGTGAGGGAAGTGAGGCAGGTATAGCATTTTTTGGTGTAACGGCAGAATGCCACCCAGTGGGCCCTGTTCTGCCCACAGGCTGGTGTGTCGTGTTCTCCCAGTTTGGGTCGGTACTTGTCCCTGGGCAGTTGGGCCTCTCAAGTTCCAAAGCTGTTGCAGTGAAGTACTGAATGTTCACCAAGCATGTAAATATCGGTACACCTTGACAGAGCACAGATTTGGCATTGCCACATGCCTGTTTACATAAGGTAATCAAAATGCTGCTTGGCTAAATTTTTGGAGTAAAACTTCCTAGCTTTCCTCTTCGATCCGCAACCAAAGTTTCAGGTACAGATATAACCCCTTCAGTGAAGCTCTTAGATATGTCTGTCATGGTTCTAATAGTTTATATATTCCCAGCCAGTGTGATTCTTTTGATACTGATGGAATAAGTCCTGGTATAATAACAATGACACACACTAACCCTGACAGGGACCAGCCAGAGGCTGCGGGCTCATGGCAGTGACTAATCCCCACTTTTTTACAAACCTTAATTTGTAGCATTTAGCAGATGTGTGACAGAACTGATTGTTCACCGTGATGGTGAAGTATGTCAGTGTGTTTAGCCACAACACAGGAGAGTAACAGTGGGGCGAACAGACGGAAACAGTCCATGTTCAGCAGCCCTAGCAGACAGAGCTTTTCAAGCCAGGGTAGGGCAAACTGTGGCATGTGGGCCAATTAGCTTTAACTGGCCCTTTAAGCAAAACATTTATCAAATATCCATTTGTTGTACTAGGTGACATACAGCCACTCAATATTTTTAAACAAATCTACATTTCAAAATTCTGGTTTAATCCAGGTTCTGCTGGCAGAAGGTTACACTGAGCAGCAGGTTGCTTTCAGGTTCTAAACAGTACACAATAATAATGTGAAGCAGGAGACACTGGGAGCGACCAGGAACCAGGCAGGTAAATCGCGGAAGCGACTTTCTAATGGCAGAGATGACTGGTAACTTATCCAACAGTTTCTTATGAATCGTAAGATGACATCAGTGATGTGTTCAAGACCATCTGTTTCGAGATCAAGACAAGATCAAGACTTTTCATCAGACCAAAACAAGACCAAGACTTGAAACTTCACAATCACAATTTAGATTTTTTTTGTAGACTGCACCCATATTGGGGCTATATTTTCATTTATGTAATTTCAAAAGACTCTATTATTGAAAAACTTTAATGTTCACATACTCTAAACAATAATGCAGATATATAAAAAACACACAATATAACATAATCATGTACACAAAGCCTCCCCCAGCTCTATGAAGGCGATAGTAAATCACAACTCTAACAGTCAACACTAAACAATAAACACTATCAACAATGTCCAAAACAGTCTAGTACATACAGCGCCCTCCACAATTATTGGCACCCCTTGTAAAGATTTGGAAAAAGGGTTCCTGGCTTCCTGATTAACTAGGGTACAAACATGAGGTGACCAGAGCCCAAATTCCCTTAGTCATCCATCAACGTGGGAAAGATAAGAGAACACACAGACAAATGAGGGAGAAGTGTGCTGACCTTCACAGATCTGGGAATGGATATTAAAAACTAGCTACTCGCCTTAAAATGCCCATTTCTACCGTTATGGCAATAATAAAAAGTGGACAACAACTGGAACTGTTACAAACCTGCCTGGAAGAGGACCCAAGTTTATTTTTCTCACATGTACAGTGAGGAGGATCATAAGAGATGCAAAAAAATCCACAAGGATCACGGTTGGTGAATTACAAGACTAAGTAAAATCTTGGGGTTGCCAAGTCTCAGAAAAAGACGCCCCCTTCATGCTAGCAGATTATTTGGAAGGTGTGTCAGAAAGGAACCTATTCTCTTAGTTAACCACAAACGTAAGTGCCTGGAGTTTGTGAAACACTACTACAACTTTAACTGGAACCAAACTCAATGATGAAACAAAAATGGAGCTTTTTGGCAATAAACATAAGGTGGGTTTGACAAAAAAACAAAGGTTCGCTATAATGAAATGAACCTCATCCCAAATGCAAAATATGGTGGAGGTTCTGTGATGTTGTGGGGCTGTTTTTCCTCCAAACACCCTGGAAACCTCGTTAGGGTACATGGCATTATGGACTCCATGAAATACCAGGACATTTAAAATCAAAATTTGGCTGTCTCTGTCAGGAAGCTAAAACTGGGCCGTCACTGGATCTTCCAGCAGGACCACGATCCTAAGCACATGTCCAAATCAACACAAAAATAGTTAGCTGACCATAGAATGAAGCTTCTGCCATGAACATCTCAGTCCCCTGACCTGAACCCCAGTGAAATGGTATAGAAGACTCAATGCTGTTATACAGGCAAAGGGACGTTGTAGAAAGTATTAAATCCAGGGGTGCCAATAATCATGGCACATGTGTTTTTGTTGAAAATAATTATTTCTTGATGAGAGATTTGTTTTTCTTTCAGTAAATTTATTTTAAGGAAAGGTTGGATTTTTCAAATTTTTTCAGTGTAATATGAAATTACTTCATCAAAAGGTGGGTTTTTTTCTAACCCTTCTTACAAATCTTTACAAGGGGTGCCAATAATGGTCAAGGCCGCTGTAGCAGTTGATGATGGATGAGTGAAGGAAATACCTTGTGAGCAGCTCTCCGAAAGGAATGTACCAGTTCCTGATGTAGCGAGAGGTGACTGGGAGCAGGGTTTGAAAAAGAGTGAGATCTGGGACCCGGGGGTGGGGGTCTCGTCTATCGCACATTACATATGAGAGGCATGTTTTCTGGGGGATAAGCAGTGTTATTAATTGACAGTTTAGGTCACAGCATGTTATGTGGAGCTATTATATGACTGTGCCTTACTGAATGAATTTTGGTCTATATCATAAGAACATTACAGAGGAGTAAAATACTATGGGTATGAAGCACGTAATTTAAAGTTTGTATTATTTTGTACTATTTGTACTATTGTTTGTACTCTTTGTAACCATATATAAGGATAAAAATGAAAGAGAAATGCTTGATATTAACACACCATTTCAAGCTAACATCAATACACTTGTTTTGATATGCAAATTTGGCTTTGAAATGTTTCTCTGAACACTATTACTGATACTGTCCCCTTAATAAGCTGTTTATTATTATTTTTATTAATGATGTTGTGTTAAACGTTAGTTAGCCTAATCTAGCCCATTAGGTGTAATATGAAAGAAACCAAACCTTTAACATGGCCAGAGTAGCCTAGCCTACGCTAATGTTTAACATCTTTCATATAATGATCTTTACTTCCAACGCTATAGCAGGTCGCAATTTTATAATGTTTTTAAAAGATAATGAACATTGCTTTGTCTCACCGCATGATAAGCTGACTGCACACCCTCCCTCCCCCCCAATGCTGCATGGTCACATGCACACAACGTGAATTCGAGCTGCTGTATATGAAGTGCGCGGCTTCCCGAGTCGCGCATCCTCTATCATACTTATACTGAAGGCTCTCTCTCTCTCTCTCTCTCTCTCACACACACACACACACACACACACGCACAGTGGACACTATTAATAACACATTCTAACTGAATTAAGAATGCACTTGGCCCACAGACATTTTCGACAGCTGATTTTTTTTATCCAGGTGAATATTTAGCTTCTAATTTTATCTTTAGCTCTTTAAAAAATTACCGAGGTCCGGACCTTGGTGACCTCATATCTGGCTGGCCCTGATTGGGATCGCTCTACAGACGAAGACGTATCCACTGAAGATGAACTCACACGGACAAGCACAACAGCGTTGTACTGGGAGATGTAGAACATTTGTAAGGTGCGCTGCTACTTGAGGACCTAGATAGTCAGTCTGTGACACATTTGCAGATTTCCCTGCTCAAACACACCTACTAAACCTGCCAATTATCTGTTGAGCTGAATAAGGTGCGTTTGAGCAGGGAAATCCGCAAACTGTGTTGCAGACTGACCCTGTAGGACCGCAATTGGGGATCCCCGGATCCGTGTTCTGTGTAGAACCTCGAATCTGTAAGCTTGCAGCTATGTGCCTGTGTATACAGAGCTTCACACCGTCTGCATTCCCGCAGGCGACAAGGCCCAGCAGAGTAAATGCTTTGCCCACTGGGCAAATCTGCCTTTCATTTCTCTTTTTACCCAGTTTTTTTGTCCTGGGGAAAAGCTGAAGGGGCAGAAGTTCCTTATAAACATGCAAACAAGCACAGCCTCAGGAAAGAGGAAACCAGCTTAAACACGCATCACTTCCTGTCGCCTAATGTTTTTGATTCCCTAAATTCTCTAAATATATGCAGTACTGTGCAAAAGTCTTAGGCAGTAAAATGTTTTAGGCTATTTGTCTAGGTAGTAAGTGTATATATACAAAAAAAACAATAACAGTGCAAAAGTGCAGACATACACTAACATATGCAACTTCACAGTAATACAATAATAAATAAATAAATAAATGAGCACAAACAAACAAATAAACAATGTGTCTTCTGTCCTCCAAAAAGTTACTGATATCTAGTTCGATGGCTAGATGAACACCGCTTCAGTTCCCAAACCTCTCCTCATGGGCACCCCAGCCATAACAAAATTATTAAATAATTCAATGAGGTATTGATTAGCCGTAGGAGGTGAGGTAGTGGTCGAGACGTGGCTATGTTGGATAGATGCTGCAAATCCTGGGTTGACTTTAGGAGAGGTATTGAAATGGCTAAGCTGGTAGACTTTTACAGATATATCGTAATTTTACAGCAACATGAAGATCATTTAAACACCATTTTCTTTGACTGCCTAAGAGTTTCATACAGCACTGTAAATTCTCCATGACATTCTCAACCCCATGTTTTACACATAGATTTTTGTGGGCACCATACAATATTGCAACGGGGCTTGTTTACATGCGTGTGTGTGTGTGTGTGAGTGTGTGTGGGTTTGCGTGAGTGTGCCTGTGTGCGTAGGGCATGTGCAAATGAGTGTATGGGTGTGTGTGTCTGTGTATGTGTAAGTGTGTGTGTCTGTGTGTGTGTGTATGGCCGGAGCAGAACCACGGTGCGGGTCGCGTGCCGGTGACTCACGGGCCCAGGGCACTTTGAGCTGACGCCCTGCAATCACAGACCACCATGGCTGTCCAATGTCCCATCGTTCTGATGCCCTTGTTCCTCCTCATCGCAGGTGAGTAACTCAGATGCTCAGTATCAGAGTGGTATCCACTGGCAGAGCAGAATGATAGCCGATCTCTGGCTGTATTATTAGATATTCTGGTGTTGGGGCGAAATGGGCAGTGACCAGTAATGTGATGGTTGACCCATGGTTAACGATACAAGAACCGTAACAGGGCTCAACATGGTCATGGCAAGAAAATGACAACACGCTAAGATGTCAGGTTATATTTTCAAACTATTCATGACTATTTCGAAACATTTTTTGTGTTAAACTGTCAGAGAGTGAACTTAGGCATTCTAATAGTAATGCTGAATAAATCGGGGTCAAATAAGAAATAATGACCTTGAGATATAAGAAGCGTTTCACAAGAGGAGAGCTGCCTGCAACATTCAGTTTCTGCGTCATGATGGACGGATCACTGCAATGCAAAAACGTGAGATTTTCTGCTCAAGCGACCTCAGAATTACTGGGAACCTCATGAAAGGCTGGAATGACCATCAGGAAAAGATCTTTGTAAAGTCTTGCAGAAAATTTTACAAGCTATCTTGAAATGGGATTACTGTAAGACCTCAATTCTCCCCTTAATAGAAAATTTCTAAAGTGAATAGTCATTTCTAAAGTTAAATATACTTGCTACTTATTATGTGGATGACAGATATGTGGCGATTATTCCCCTGGAAAATGATATTTTTAACCAAGTTCCTCTTGTCTGTGCAGGACGACTATCTGCCGTTATTACTAACTATCATTGTTCCAGCTTTATTTCTCCAAAGAAGCTGTTGCTCTGATGGCAATAGATTGTCTTGTAAATGCATGTCTGTCAGGTTCTTAGTTGACCATGCAGTACTTCGTGCTTAGATTTTAAAATCTTTTTCAGAAGATAGCAGAAAGAATAGAATAGAATAGAACAGAATAGAATAGAATAAAATAGAATAAAGTGATACTGTATTTATCCCCATGGGAAAATTCTCTTTTTGCTTTTGCTCCATCTTGCTCTCCATAAAGGTGAGGGCAAGTTTGGGGGTCACCTCCTCTGACCATCTCACTTGATCTCTTTTCTGCCCAGTGGCACATGAAGACGGCTGGTCCATGAAGGTTCCCCCGGAGGTGAGGGCAGTGGAGGGCTACCCTGTAGTGCTGCCCTGCTCGTTCTCGCACCCGCGACACGAGCAGCACTCCTCCATGCTGGTGCAGTGGCGCCTGGGCCACGGCCCTGCTGGAGTGGTACTCTTCCAGTGCGCCAGCCACAACAACAGCCGCTCCTGCCAGCCCGAGGGGCACCAGGACCAGCGCTACCGCCTGGAGGGTGACCCACGCCAGCACGACCTGTCGCTCCGGATCAACAGCGCCGCCCTGCAGGACAGTGGCCACTACTACTGCCGTGTGGAGGTGCCTGGTCACCCACATGCCAGCTTCCAGAACAAGAGGGGCATGCACCTGCGGGTGGAGGGTGAGTGTGTGTGGGGCATGCCCACGAAAAAACCCCCACGTCATGGGATAGGTGCCAGGCTCAGTAAGACCTTCTCCTGGATAAGCAGTAATGGAAGAGGGATACCTGGTTGAACTATAGTATTATTAGTTAAAAATCTATGGAATGAACCACAGAACATGTTTGCTTACCCATAAACTCTTTATGTGCTGTTCAGCTGCCCCGCAGATCCTGGGACTGTCAGTAGAGGGCAGTGAGGAGTCAGGCTACAGTGCAGTGTGCCGGGTCCAAGGCTCGCCCCTCCCGGATGTGCAGTGGAGCAGCCCTGAGCACCCCCGGGACGACCCCCCGCTGACCTTGCTCTCGCAGGCGGATGCCAGCCAGCACCACACCTCCAGTCTACTGCGCGACGTCCAGCCAGGGCACCACTACACCTGTGCCGCCTCCAACCCTCTGGGAAGAGAGCAGGCCACCTTGTTCCTCCTGCAGCCCAACCCTCTACAGGCCTCCTCTGGGCCTCCTCACCTGCTCCTGCTTCTCTCGCTCTCACTGGGGGCCAAAGTGCTGCTCTTTCTGGGCTGGCTTGCTTGGCTGCTCTGGCGGCAGTGGCAGTGATATGATGTGCTCTCCTTCTGAAACTCAGGGCCTGGCCGTCCTGGTCTCTGCCGAGTCGTACCCCAGTGAGCTATGATTTTGTCTCTTGAGTTAAGTCACACCCCTCTTGCATCAGTTTGAGCAGCTCAGCTAAAAGGGAAGCCTATGTAACAATGAGGCAGTGTTGGGCTCCCCCTTGTGTCTCCAGGCTGCCACTGCATGTATGCTAAATATGAGTACAAGCATAAATCATATCTAATCTTGCTTGGTTCAAGTGTATGCAAAATGGTCTTTTAATTGGGGTAGCAGAGCCCTATGCCAGTGGCTCACTATATCTAGAGTTGGCATGTTTGTCTTTTAAGATAATTTAAGGTTTAAGATAATAAAGTGGAACGAAGATGTCACACAGAAGAACAAAGGGCCATTATGTTCTTTTCTTTTGCTGATTTACAGGCATTGAACAGGGTGGCGTGCTGGCGCAGTGGTTAGCGCTGCTGCCTTACAGTAAGATGGGCCCGGGTTGGGTGTAGGACCTTTCTGTGTGGAGTTTGCATGCTCTCCCCGTGTTCCTGTCGGTTTCTGCTGGGGGCTCTGGTTTCCTCCCAGGGTCCAAGAGCGTACAGGGCAGGTTGATTGGCGACTCGAAGTTGCCCCTGTAGCTGTGTGTGTGCCCTGCAGTGTGTTGGCGACTGCCCAGTGTTGGTTCCCGCCTGTTCCTGGGATAGGCTCTGGGCCCCCCCGCGACCCCAGTTGGGATTAAGCACTTACAGTGATGGATGGATGGATGAGCATTGAACAGCATATTGTGTGAAGTGTCATTTATGCTGATTATAAGGTGTGCCAATGCTAGCTGGAAGCTGCGGCTGCTGTGCATCATGGGTGTTTACCGTCACATGACGATACCCGCCACAAAGGACCCCGGAAGAGAAAGACACCAGTGAAATGCTGCCGATACTTTTTTAATGTCATTAATCTTGACGTTCATTTACACATACTCTGAATTGAAGATACTTTGTAATAAGAAGTCAATGGACACAGTAATGGTAAAGAACAGGCAAACTCTACCAGCCCAGTATAACTGAAAAATGAAAAGCTCAGTGTTTAGCCAATAGGAACCTTAATCCAACGAAAAGCTGAGGATAGTCGCTAACTGAAAGGAGATGCTATTACAGAAAAGAAACAAAGGGCCCTAACAGAAAGGCCCTCCTATGGCATATAGCAGGCAAAGGGCCCTCGTATCGCAAATAGCAGGCGAAGGGCCCTCGTATCGCAAATAGCAGGCGAAGGGCCCTCGTATCGCAAATAGCAGGCGAAGGGCCCNCGCAAATAGCAGGCGAAGGGCCCTCGTATCGCAAATAGCAGGCGAAGGGCCCTCGTATCGCAAATAGCAGGCGAAGGGCCCTCGTATCGCAAATAACAGGCGAAGGGCCCTCGTATCGCAAATAGCAGGAGAAGGGCCCTCGTATCGCAAATAGCAGGCAAAGGGCCCTCATATCACAAATAGCAGGCAAAGGGCCCTCTATCCCATACAGCAGGCAAAGGGCCCTCTATCCCATACANCAAAGGGCCCTCTATCCCATACAGCAGGCAAAGGGCCCTCTATCCCATACAACAGGCAAAGGGCCCTCTATCCCATACAGCAGGCAAAGGGCCCTACGATCACATATAGCACACGAAAGGATGTGAAGAACAGCAGATCTCGCTGTTCCATCTGATGTTGTCGTCTTCCAGAGACGCCACAGCACACCAGGCCTGTGTGTTGTTTTTGGGCTCGTGGTTGGCCCAGTAAGTGGTGCCCAAGGGGGCCTTGCTGAGCCAGTACCACTGTCCCGTGAACACGCTCTTACGCAGGCCGATCCAGACACCATCCAGGCCCGAATCCTTAAGTAGACTGGTGAGCTGCAGCTCGACGTCCGCGTTAGTGATGCTGCCCAGGGCACCGCCGAGGGCTTGGCACTGCTGCAGCGCCGAGGTCCAGTTCTGCCCATCCCTGACCAGAACCAGGTAGCCTGCACACACAATACATGCAAGCACAGTCAGCAGCTGTCACATATGCATTACTATTAGAACACCATCATGTTTATATAAAATGTTTTTTTCCCAAAAATTTCCATAAAATGCAATGAATGTAGTGTAAGACAAAAAAAAAACACTTGGGATAATGGTTTACACAGTACCTGTGCTAGTAACCAATCAAATGAAAAATAGTATCAGGCAACAATCTACTGTCACACTAATTGATAGGGTATCGAAAAGCAAATTGCTTGGATGAGACAGTGTTAAAAACCTGGGTAGAAAGGAAATTTTGATGAGTAACAGAACTCACTGCTCTCCTTTTACTTAGGAACATAAGAAATCCCATCAAGCTCGTTTGGGGAGAACTCAACTAATAGCTCAGAGCTGTTAAAATCTTATTTAGCTCTGATTTAAAGGAACCCAACGTTTTAGCTTGTGCAACACTAACAGTTGTGCAAAAAAGTGCTTAAAGTTTAAAATGTTCTCCCACTAATTTCCACCTATGAGCTTTTGTATTTGAACTTATATTGAAGTAACTATTTGGTTACCATGGTCACCTCCCTTGACCCTTTCCAAGGCAGCAATGTCCTTTTTAAGGTATGGTGACCAAACCTGCACACAATATTCTAGGTGGGGTCTTACCAAGGAATTATATAATCGTAGCATCACCTCCCTTGACTTAAACTCCACACACCTAGAGATGTAACCCAACATCCTATTGGTCTTTTTTATTGCTTCCCTACACTGGCGAGAGTGGGACATGGAAGCATCAACATACACACTGAGGTCTTTCTCATATTCAGCGTGTGCTTTATATTTCTGTTCCCTTAATAGATTACTTTACGTTTGTCTACAAATTTTTTTGTTTCCAGAGGCAAAAAAAAGCATAGACCTGCACACTGCTTGGCTCTGTTTCGGTCCGGAACACAGGGCTCACACTGTACCTAGCTTAGCCAGTGAATGGCCCAGTTCGTCTGACATACCGCAGTCCAGGCGTGGAATCAGGGCAACCGGATTGATTTGCCTGGCAGATGCAAGGAATTTGACTGGGGGATTGAAAGTCACTGAGGCGTAACCCTGCTGCGGTGAAGCCAGTTCTACATGCCGTACCTTTCCTGGCACCAGAAACACACGTCCTGCTCTTCATTCAAAGTGGCACATGCCAGCGTAATGATGGCTCCATACAGTCCGACGATAATCTGAGAATCACTAAGTATCTGCGATAAAACCCTCTGCTAAAGCGCCATGGTCTTGCAGCAGGATTTGCCAAACAGTGGTTCGCGGCCCAGTGGCAGGACACAAGTGGTCTGTAATGGGCCATCGCATGGACATGAACCCAAACAGAAAAATTCCCAGTTGGGAAATGAACCCCCCCCAAATCTGTTCGATGACGCAACACTGTAGCTAATACGTTTTAACATATTGAACTGTGAAACAGAACTTGTGTAATGCATAACACAGAATTAATTTAATGCAACATGCTGTGTAATCCCATGTAACCCATAATATCTATTGTGTAATGCCCCACGTAAGAGATTGTACCTGTAACCCTCGGGAGGCTCAAAGCAGTACTTCCATAGGACCTGTTTGAATAGAGGTGTGTCCCAAAGGTATACACTGCCATCGTGGAGGTCAGATGCCAGATCAGATAAGTGCTTTTTGATGTGTCCAGCTCCAGAATTCCTTGAGAATACACGGTGGTGGAAACTGCGGTCCAGTTAACAGACAAAGCACTTTGTTCATCACAGTCCACCTCACAGACTGGTTTCAACCTCAGCCCATCTATTTCTGAGGTCTCCACCACCAGCAGGGCAAAGTTGGAGAAGTTGGAGAAGGTATGAAGCAGGAAGTTGTAGGTCCAGTTCTCCATCGGTAGAAGGTTCATGAGGAAGCCGGGCCCCAGGAGGGTGAGCGACCTGGGTGTGCTGAACTGGAGGTGAAGGTTGGGATTTGACAAAATCTTCAGTTCGTCCTTAGCCCTGCCGACCACGAGCAAGCTTTCCAGGCTGCTGGGAGCTGGTAGTGCCGGCAAGACATATTCCTTCCCCCACATGCTGAATGGAAGCAGCTGCTCGAACGCCATGCTGCAGCCACACTCACCTACCTCCAAGCAGGGGTTTCCCAAAAGCACCGCCACAAGCTCTTCAGCATTCACCTGCGTCAAAAACTGGGGGTCGATGGGGAACTGAGTGCTTCGGTAAGGCTGAAGATGGACATCATTCCCGCCGTCTTGCCCTTGCACGGTCAAGTTGTTTACATCTTCCTCGTTCACGACGACAAAGTTGAACGATTCGTTCGTTTTGGCATTTGCTGGGGCGGTGAGAAAGTATTCGTTGTCCAGGCTACTCACTGGGTACAATACGCTGATCTCTGTGCTGTCATTCCTACTACTGGCAGACAGCACGGTGATTGGTCTGTTGCTGTAGATGCACGTGGTTCTCTGTGATTCATTGTACCACTGCCGTTCTTGGCTCGAAAGCACCACCGGCCACACTTCCCAATCAGAAAGGACATTGCTGATTTCCAGGCCCTGCGTTCCTACGGTGATATTCACCCAGGTGTTGTCCTGGTAGGAGGTGATCAACAGCTGGAGTGTGGGTGGTATTGGGTGATAGTAGGCTACATTCTCAGGAAAAGCGGTGATAAACTTTACACCAGAGTTTTGGCTAAGAGCGAACCCTACAAAACAGAAGCAAAACCAAGTAGAGAACATCAGAGAACAGGAATAAAGACGCAAGCGTGCTGTTACTATATCAGACGACGTAGCACAACACTGTCCGCAGCTCTCAGTTAAGCCTGTTATTAATGCAACACATCCACAACACAAACAATAATAATAAAAAAATGAAAGCTTTCTGAAACCATGATCAGGGGGACCTACTGGAGGACTAAGGGGTGGATGGATAGATAAATACCGAAAATGACGTAAAAACACTATCAGTAGCTACTTGGCAGATATTATAATCCAGAGGTTTGCTCATTAATTTTGGGCTATAGAAAAAAAAAAACTCACCTGGATAGAGGGTTGAGAATATGAACACCCTGACCAGGCTCAGCTGCATTGTGTCTCCAAAAGACTAACAGGGAGGCAAGACTGTTTGCTGGATGGTTTAAATTAACACTTCATAAACAAAAAGCCTGTTTAATATTTTCATGTTACAGAGACATGTGGCAAAAAAAAATTCCTGACAATTTCAGACAGTGCGCAGTCATGAACTCACCACTGGTACTTACATAGATAAAGACATTATACATACATAAACACACACACGTATGTATATTACATAAAAAATGTATGCTAGGTGATTTCTTTGACTTTACATTTTCCATCTCAAATTCCACTGTTATTGTAGCATGGTTAAAATAATATTCCGGTTACCAATAATAAGTTTCTTAACGTAAAAAGTCTTCTGGAAATACAGCTACATTTTAAAGTCAAGCAGTTTTTAGTTGTTAAAAACAAATCCTGCATTCTAGATATGAGAATATTTATCAAATCTATTCCATACCTTTAAAATGATCCAAAAATGTGTGCGCTTGTGACTCAGAACATCCAGTGAGGTATTTCCACTGCAAGTAACATAAAATAACAAAAACTTACAAATTGCAAACATGAAATTAATTACTTGACTGATCTTGTACTATAAAATGTAAAAAACAAAAACATTATAAACTAAGTGCCAAAAGCCATCCAAATACAATTCATTATATCATGTGTGATACATACCTTAAAGCTCCTTTAGTTAAGAACAAAATGTCACCCTTTGCCTCACTCACTCCTCCTCATCCAAAACATTTGAAATGCAAACATAAACCAAAAATCTAGCTGAACTTTGCATTACAATTAGGGAAATCTGGAACAGCATAGTCATTTTTTTAAGACGCACATCAGACAACATGCTTTTAATTTTCTCTTCCTCAGCCGTTTTGTCCATTTTCCCAGGATGATGATGTGTGCAAAATGTGTCCTGAGCAAGTTGCCGGCCACCATATGAATATCCATTTTCTTAAAACAAGTCAAATCTCCAAACAGCCTGTCAGTGCCACTAAGACAGTGATAGATTTACATCCAATTTGCATCTATTTCTTGGCTGTCCGAAATTACTTTGGCTGTTCCAGTGTTTGTCAAAAGTAGGAAGAGTGCATCCATTAATTGTAAACTGAAAATTCTCAGTCATTAATGATGTACAAAGCTTGACAATTTCAAGACAAGTAAAAGCAGAAAAACTGAACTTCAATTATCAAATGTTTATTTCAGCAAGGAGTAAAAAAAAAAATTAAATACACTAGATTTCTTGTTTGGCCACAAAGCAGTATTATTAGCCAAGTATTTACTTATTTGCTGTTACTTTTGAGGCGAGATCTTTGTCACCCAATACATCATTCTGTGCACCATCTTACCATTCATTTCTCATTAGTCTTAGAAACACCACGAGGGTTTCATGCACAGTTTGGTCATTCTGGACAGTCAGGGACACGATGTGGGGGGAGAGGGGGTTCATCGGTGCTGCAGTCCTTGTTTTTGCACTTTACCACCTTCCCAACGCACCCCCTGCCGAGCAGAGCCCCCCTTGCCCCTTCCACTACCACCTCCTCCTCTTCCTCCTCCTCCTCTCTTCCTCCTGGACCCCTGCTTATGCTCCGCCTCCTCTTCTTTGGCAGCCTGTGCCCAGAGAGTATCAATCCTGCCAGGGGCCTGGTATCCGGGTCGTGTGGGGTCCAGCGGGTCTTTGGAAAGCAGCACCCAAATGGCCGGCACATTCCTGCTCACGGTGAGTGTGTCCAGGCTGGCGTCGGGCTCTCGCGGCTCCCATATCTCCTGCACGGTATGGTAGAGGAGGTGTGTGTGCTGGTGCAGTCCTTTCACGCGCCGCTTCAGGATCTCCACGCACGTGATGGCCTTCGCCACGCTCCGGCCGGTCCCCGAGAACAGGATGCAGCGGACGGCCTCGACGTCCATGCGACCCACGGCGAAGCCCATCAAGTTGCGAATCTTGCTGCCGTCTTTCACGCGCACTTCAGGGGTGTCACTGGGCAGCCCAGGGAACGGACAGGGACACGGCTGCTCCACCGTGCGGGCCTTGCAGTAATTTTCCATGGGGGTCTAAGTCTTTCCTGGCAACGCAAGCATGAATAAAGAGGAAAGAAATGCAAGTTGTTGAGCCGCCTACGTCTCACTGATATCAGCGTCATTTACGAACATTACAAAACTACGTTAATTAGCCGTTAAAACGCTTAATTGCCGCCCCTAATTTGTTATTGCTATCACCTGAAAAATTGCAACAACAGTAAACACGGTATACATGCAGAATGCACATTAAAGTTTAGTGAATTTCATTATGCGTATTTATTGACAACGATACTTAACATTTGCTTCGGGTAGTGAATATTCTAAAAATACAATAAAATAACATTAAGCGTGTGTTTTTTCATTTTTAGTGTCAGATGTGACACACAACAGCAACCCTATCAATGCCGCCATCAGTAGTTTACAAGTAAACTAGCGATTTCAGTAATTTACAAAAAGAAAAACGAATAAAACAATTCAATCATTCTTTCTATTATTATAAAAGGCTAATTGTAATTGTTTTTATTCTTACCAGCCTCTTCAGCATGAAACACAGATCCCAACCTCATGTAAAACTTAACTAACCATCAGTATGACCAACCTTTTACAACTGCCGTGAAGTGCTGTAAATAAAGTCGTAAAATGTCGCTACTTCTAGTTGGTAATGTTGGGTATTGTAGTTTTTAGATAGCACGCAGTATCACGCTTACACTGACGCCCCTATTAAAATACGACGGGGCGTGGTTGCCCACCCAGCAGACACGACCAAATAGAAGCAACCATTAGTGATGTAGTAGAATTGCTATGATGATACCTGTAAGTTGCCATGCAACATACCGAAGTAACACAACTGTTTGGCTGGATGCTCACGTACAACTGCATTCTTTCAGTGAGGCTTATTTTAAATCCGGTCAAGTGATTTTTTTTTTAAGTTTTAAAGATTTTTTGTAGTGTACGTTATTGGCATTATCTTGCATAGGTTTGCGTAAGAGCATGGGCGTTGTTAGGTCCGATCACTCTGGGCCATGTTCCCAAGTATTTTAGCCCCGATGCCAGTCTTCCTTTAAAAAAAAAAAAAGTCAAGCTCCTGGTAAACTTGACTTAGCCCCTAATCAGAATCAGAATCAGAATCAGCTTTATTCACCAAGTGTACTGGGGCACACAAGGAATTTGGTTCTGGCTGCTTGAGACTCCCTAGTACACAGACAATTAATGACACTATACAAACAATAAATTACACTATACAAGAAATACAAATGTGAAAAATTATAAATATTATAAATATACACACATGGATAACACTGTGCAAGTTTAAGGTGCGAGGTAGAGTGCAACAGGGGGGAAATTGACAGAAGGCTACAGTAGCTGTTTACGAGGGTGAAGACCTGAGGGAAGAAGCTGCTCCTATGTCTGGTGGTTTTTGTGTACAGAGTTCTGTAGCGCCTGCCAGAGGGGAGGAGCTGGAAAAGATTGTGTCCAGGGTGTGACGGATCTGCAATGAAGGTATATGATACACTCTTAAATTTGTAAATCGATACCGCATGGACAACTCACTATTGCTTTAAAAAACCAATTGGGTTTATCCTGTCTCGAATTTTCCTACATGGGATTCTTCCTTCTGATCCCACCCAACAAATAAATGCAGTCATGTTTTCAATAAAACTAAAACAGACCTAACATAAACCTCCTCGAGGGGTGGTTTAAATATGACTGCTAATCCAGCTTTATACTTGATTTAAATTCACTGGTGCAACAGACTTGAATTTAATCTAGGTTTGAGTGGAAATTAAACTAAGATTAACAAAGGTTTAGATTTAACCAAGATTAATTGTACACTAAATTTAAACTAGTTTTAAACTTTGGTGAAACAGGATTAGTAGATAAATCTTGATTTAATCCAGTTTAAAAGTTAAACCATGTTGGCGCAACCCAGCCTAAGTCACGTTAAGCCTTTTCTTTATAATGGGCGCCAATGGAGAGGAAAACGCATAACGTAAGATAAAGTCCATATTCCTAGCATTTAGGTTCAGGTGAAAGTCTTTATGAGCAGATATGTGTGTGAGGTGAGATATTTGGTGATTATTGGTGGCTGTTTTGGTACATTAAGTTACGTTAAGCCTTTTCAGATTAAGCGCTGTAGAATGTCACAAACTGGGCATAATGACGAACCATCCGCGGATCCCATACATACGTGATTTTCGTGCACATGACAGTGTTTGGCGGTAGCGAAGTACAATTACTTTGTTACTCTACTTAAGTCCGTGTTTCACATATCTGTACTTATGTAGATTTAGCCGTAGGCTCGGCTCTGTAGGGGAACAGAAAACTAACAAACATGTGTCAGATCCTTTTTTCTTCTTGGGCAATTCTGTGTCAAATCAATAGATCTTTAGAACATTTCCATTCACGTTGGGGGGGGATATATTTTAGGCTTTTTATGCTTTAATATTTTTCAGTTAAAGATTTGTCATCAGCATTTCAATGTATGGCTGAATCCATTCATCATCCATTCAACAAATCCTACTTTTGCCTTGAAGTCCTACCCCGTCTGACCAAATCAGACAAATGAGGTGTCAAACCGATCAGTCCTCTGAGCTGATCAATAGTTCTAAAAAAAGTCAGACATTTCTGTATCATACGGCCATCATGCCCAAACTCCACCTAAATTTGGCCTGTTTTAGTGTGACTGGTATAACTTGGCCCTGCCTTAGCCTACCTTGACCTCCCTGCACCTCTCGGGGGCTCGATACAAGCCCGGCCGGATTTCATCAATAGGGGGCGCTACAACTGAAAACTGCCAATATCTCCAGACTGCCTTGACCAGTCCAACTAAAGTTTGGCAGATATGTACTACGACCAAGCCTGAGGTCAGATCCATAATATAGCAGTCATGAGTCATAAAATACTGCCCACCATCAGCTGATCAAAATCAAGCATCCATTTGACAGGCCTAGCAATCATCAATCTGAACTAAATCTGGATAATCCATTTGGCTATGGACCCTGACCTCACCCTGGTAAGGGCACCCCAGTCTGCTAGATGGGGGCACTACAGCAACAAATTTTGCGTTTCTGCCTACTTCTCCAGAACTGTCAAGCCTACAGTTCTCATTTATTGCCAGAACAATTCAGTATGACATACCAAATCAAGCAACATGTAGAACTTGGTTCTCCATCTTAGTTTTTTTGCATAATTCATAGGTCTGATAACAGGACTTTTCGCACTTGTTCTAGGATTTTCGCCCAACCTATGTGAATGTGGTATCATTCAAATCAGAAGACAGTCCTTATAAACAATTATTTTAAAAATCCTACACTATCTGTAAGGTACGGCCATCAGCCACAGGGAGCAGGCAAACACACTAGGGCCTAAGGACTACAAGACGAGAGAAGATGGAACAGGATGGCCAGCGACACCTCCTGGTAAAATGCAAGCAGGACACATGGGGCAGGGCCAGACTGTCAGTTTCGTTTTGCCTCGACTCCTTCGTCATTTGTCCTGCATCGCGTGACACATACCTACCTATGATTGTTAAAGAATGCTACGCTATTACCTTTAGGGAAGGTGCCACTTATTGGTACCTTAATGTAATGTCACCCGTTAGACTTTTATCTTTGGGGTCATCTGAAGGCAATTGTCTATGCTGTGAAGATACGAGATGTGCAGCACCTGAAACTATGGATACTGGAAGCCTGTGCTAGCATTTCTTCTGCGGTGTTGCTATCAGTGTGTGAAGAGTGGGAGAAGAGGGTTGCATTGACAATCCAACACAATGGGCAGCACATTGAACACATTTTATAAGTGGTCAGAAACTTGTAAATAACTAATGAAAGAATAAAGTCACGTTAAAACCAAGCACACCATTGTTTTTCTTGTGACATTCCCAATAAGTTTTATGTGTCACATGACCCTCTTCCTATTGAAAAAACAAAAGTTGGATCCAAAATGGCCGACTTCAAAATTTCCACCATGGTCACCACCCATCTTGAAAAGTTTTCCCCCTCACATATACTAATGTGCCACAAACAGGAGGTTAATATCACCAACCATTCCCATTTTATTAAGGTGTATCCATATAAATGGCCCACCCTGTACTTTACTCACCCTTCTTTATAAGTATTGCTTATTTAAATAAAGATATTATTACAAAATGACTTTCTGCCTATTTCTGCTATTATTTCTACAATTATGCTTGAATGAATACTTCCAGAATCCCATTTCTACAGTTCTAGATTTATATTGTAATAATGCTAAATAAAATTAAAGCTTTAGTAAATAATATTACATTGTGGATATAAAATACAAATGAATACTGGAGTTTCCCCTATATCAGGGGTATTCAACTAAAATTTAAAGAGGTCCAGTTAGAGAAAAATTCTTGAAGCAAAGGTCCGGAAG